CACAAACACACACAAACACACACACAAACACACACAAACACACACACAAACACACACAAACACACACAAACACACACAAACACACAAACACACACGAACACACACAAACACACACAAACACACACATACACACACTCGTACACGCCACATGACCGAACGAGCAAACAATGTAAGGAACAAACAAGCATGTCAGTTCTCTGCCAAGAGAAAGCAAGATTCCCCACTCCTTTGTTGTAGGAGGATGAAAGTAGTGCTAAAGCAAACACAAACAACTGCATGGCACAATCACACAGTAAAGACGAGACGATGGAAACGAAACCCAAGCGCAGGTAAGCTCATTAAAATATACAAAGTAGTCCGAGCTGTTCTCGTGAATGACCCTACCAGAGACGCCAGTGCGGCGTCATAAGGGGTCACCGTGAAGTACCTGGCAAAGGGCGTCCTTTGTTGTTCATAGAATTTGCCAGCTTGGACGTTGATTTTCCTGGATGCATCTGAGTCAGAACTCAACTAGAGAGAAAAAAAAAAATAAAAAAAATCAACTAGAGCCAGATTCAGTAAGGAACGTTTTGTGTTGGTTGAACTTTTTTTTTTTTTTTTTTTTTTATTGGTTCGGCATACGCTCAGAAATGCCCGGAGACTACAAGCTGTCCTTTCGGGACTGGACTGCGATAGATGCTGGCATTCCCCTGAGACCAGGGACAGACTTCCCGGATCCCTTCCCCCCCACACACATTATCACTTGTGGAAGTGCCTCCCAGCGTTTAAAATGCCCCTTCCGGCAGAATGCTTTCCTGATCATTACTTGTGGTTGGTTCTGAAGGGATGCTGAGCCCAGTTCATAGCCTGTGTTTTTCTCCAAAGCAACCGCCTTCAAGATCTTTTCTATAATCTTTTCCTCAGGAGGGACGCTGGGCGCGGTTCCCAGCACACGATCATATGAGCACAGTATGTGGATAGCAGGATGATTAGGCAGGGAAACGGTCCAGAGGCAAGGAATCTTGGGTTGGGCAAGAGAACGGAAGGAGAACCCATTGGTGCCCCCCGGTGGCCACCGATTGGGAAAGGAAGGAAAAGGCTGATATGGGACACTGGACCCTGCTTTCCAGCTCAAGATTTCGGTGCCCATGCAAAAGAAGGAAATGATGATTCAAACAAAGGGACGCTGGACCCGGTTCCCAGGGCCAGCAGGTGACGCTCCCCACGGATTGATGGAGCAGCCCGGCAGGCAAAGCCTCAATTCCGGTGGTTCTCTTGCCACCACCAGGATAGAGGCCTTGCGCAAGGGTTTTTCAAACTAAAAAAAATAAAAAGCTTCGGCATACACGCAGCAGCATTTCCCTACCTGTATCTGACCTCCATTGGAGCTCCATTCAGATGGGATTGTCGTGGCGCGAGTACGCAGTCCTTGGACGAACATTTAAAAAAGTTGACATAAATTTGTTTGTGAAATGTCATGGTCTACTCTTCTGCATCTTCTTTTTTTTTTCTTTTTCTTTTTTTTGTCCCCTTCTTATTCTTTTTTTTAAAAGCTATGTTCTTCTCTCAATTTCACCTCACACACTACCTTTTTTTAAAACCCCGTAGCAGCCAGAACCGTGTTCACGAGAGAACATGCGGGGGCTGCTCTCGACCTGCAGGTGGGCGATGCCGGCTAGGGGACAGCCGGTAGCATCAGGGACCATGCCAACAGGACCAATCCCTGTGCCTCCCCCCAGGTCCCCTCCCCTACGAACATCAGCAGACTCTGCTCAATGCCGATCGGGGGATCCAGTGGTCTATCTCTAGGTGGCGGGCGTCAAGCATGCCCAGGAAGGTACATGATGCCAATGGGGATTGAACCCACGACCTCCTGAATGCCACTTGCGTGCCTTACCAACAGAGTTAGGCCGCTGGATCCTTCTCATTCTATTGTACGTACCTCTTTTTTCTTTCTCAGTCATAAACTGTTTCTTGATGCTTAGCGGCGGTGATAACCAACCGGACTGATGGTGCCCTCCCCCACTCCCCAACCCTTGGAGATTTTATTTATGAAAAAGGGGAAACTACACGGGAGTAAAAAAAAGCGAGTTATAATTGCACTATGGGCCAAGAATCCAAGATACAGTTTCTGCTTCTTCTTCTTCTTCTTCTTCTTCTTCTTCTTCTTCTTCTTCTTCTTTTTTTTTTCCATTCTTCTTCTTCTTCTTCTTCTTTTTTCCTTTTTTTTTTTTAAATTTTAAAACACCCCGGGTTTGCTAGTGGTGCGGGTATGAGCAGACACCCCTAGCAACCCCTGCGGTTGGCTCCAAGATACAGTGTCGAATTTCAGTTTCGGCAATGTATACAACCCAGCTTTCTGGCCAGGTGAGGTGCCCGAAGTGCAATCGCAAACTGTATCTTGCCCCGTAGTGCAATTATAACTCGTTTTTGTGACTCTACTGAAGTTGCCCCTGAATTCAATCGGCGGCTGCGGTTTCGTTTCGCGCCTCCAGAATTTGAGATGTCAGACCCGCAGCCGAGGTGCCCATGTACTGGCGCATAAAAAAAAAAGAAAAAAAAAGGGACAATTCTAGAGGATGCTCCAAGGGAAAAAAAAAGAAAGGATTGCCCTAAAGCAGTTTGTGGTTCTGCTTGGCTCGAGAAACTGCCTTTCTAGGGCGGATCCCAATGCTGAATGTTATTTAGGAAAGAAAAAGCAGAAAAAAAAAAATGCAGAGTTTCAGCTGATCGGGCTCCGGCCGACACTTGTAGAAGGATTTGTCGTCCAAGAATCCTCACTGCTCAGTCTGTACGGAGCAAGGCTCCAATCCATGGCCGTGTCGTCCAAGAATCCCCAAGAAGGATTTGTCCTGAAGACGTTTTTTTTTTTTTCCCCCCCCCCCCCCCCCTCATGTGTGTCATCTTGGGAAGGAGTTTAGAGTGCAGTGTCAGTTTAACGACGGCCGGCCTACAATTATAGAGTTTTCTGGGCATATAGAAGGAGAGCCTAATGTTGTTTGGTTTCAACTTTCAAACATATTACCCTCACAAATTGTTTGGCTCCAAAACATTTCCAAAGCAAGGTGCAAGAGAGGTTCGCCATATCTTTTTTTTTTTGCAAAAAAACTTTAAAAAAGCGAAAAAGGAAGTGCCTTTTCGCATCCGCGTCATCCGAAAATTGCTCATTTTTACAATCTGAAGATTCCAAACCTCTTGAAGTGAAATTTCAAATTTTAAGAAAAAAACACTTCCGATTGAAAACACGGTTATGAACAAGCAGGGGACCGGGAACAACCAGGGGACCGGGGGCTGTGTCCCACTAGCGGGGGTTTGTGTTTAGTGTATTTTCCAACGTGGTCACACTAAAGTAGGGCCGTGAGATTTTCAGATCGGATGGCAAGGAGCCATGTATATTCGAAACCAGAACAAAACCTCGAGAAGTGGGACATGGCCCCGGGTGAACCATTTACAGCTGGTTGTGACTCGTGAGTGACCCAAACAGGTATACTAATGGTAGCTAGGGATGCTCATATCACCCTGACTAGTACCACCTGCAAAAAAGAAGGGGAAGTTTTCGAAATGCCCCTGAAGTTTGCGTTTATTTGCGTTTTGCCCCTCCGACGGCGGACTTACCCTGATTTGCGCCTGGGGCCTCTGAACTTTCGTGCAGGCCCCTGTCAGTGAGGGGCGCAACTTTTCGGAATGCCCCTACCGGACCGCCGGTCCCATTTCCTGTGGTGGCTGTTCGATTTGCCCTTTCGTGATGGATGCATCTTCCAGGGATGCCCTCCAGCGGGGAGGCCCTAAGAATTCGAATTCGAACTCTTTGCTTTTGCAGGCCGCCGCCCCGCAAAAAAACAGCACGCCACTCCACTCCACGTTCTGTTCACTGCTGCAATCCACCGTGACTCGGAGTTCATTCTTCTGCTACTGCGACCTGCCGCTGCCTTGGACGTCCTCGGAGTACGTTGCCGAAGCTGAGTGTTCCTCTCTCTCTCTCTCTCTCTCTCTTGGTCTGTCTGTGTGTGTGTGTGTGTGTGTGTGTGTGTGTGAGTGTGGCACGATTGTCACTATCACAACCCCGTTCAGCACGGTCATGGGGGGATGAAAATCGCCCATCTCTGTTGCTCTTGCCTTGCCGCACTGCTCAGTGCTCACCTCTGTCACTCTCGGCATGTGTACACGTGTACACTTGTGCATGCATGCACAAAGTCGTGCCATTGGTTGCTTGCCCCATTAACGCCCCGCCACGACCAACGAACCACATCCTTGAAACTGTCGGATTTACTGCCACCGCCACGGTGACCTCGTCTTCTTCCACCTCCCTTTCCTCTTCCCCCTTCGGCTCCTTTGTACTGCTGCCAACTCTCTCTCTCTCTCTCTCTCTGAAAGGAGGGTAATGTACAGCCGAGAACATACCATTAGAGATGGCAGGAGCTGGCCTGATGTAGCAAGGAAAGTTCCTGAGTGTGTCATTAGGCATCAGTACCTGTGGCATCGTCGTGTTCACGCTGTGTTTTGTTTTTTGGGAAAACTAGGGCGCAGTCACGGCCTCGACTGCCAGCAACGGCCACAAGGGCATACTGAACAGATGCACGGTACCGGCAAGGGTATCTTGGAAATTCTTGTGCAGGTACCCAACGGCTTTCCGGTAGGGGCATAATGGAAATTTGGCACCGGTACCGGCAGGGGCATATTGAACATATTTCAGGCCCAAACGATGTCAGGGTTTTTTTGGAAACTTGAATCGTTGTCAGAGGGTCAAATCAGGGTAAGTCGGCCGTCGGAGGGGCAAAACGCAAATAAACGCAAACTTCAGGGGCATTTCGAAAATTTTCCTAAAAAAAAAAAAAAAAAAGGCCTGTGTGAACTGCAGTTCCAATTTTGCAGCGGTGCATTTGAGTTCAGATGAAACTCAAAGGAAGGATTCCTTGCTTCCTTTCCCCCCCCCAACCCACACACACACACAGAAAAAAAAAAAAAAAAAAAAAAGGTAGGGAATACCAAAAAAGGAAAAAAAAGGTAGGGAATACCAAAAAAGGAAAAAAAAGGTAGGGAATACCGAAAAAAAGAAAAAAAGGTAGGGAATACCAAAAAAGGAAAAAAAAGGTAGAGAATACCTCCCCCCCCCCCCCACACCCGGGAAAAAAGCAGCCCCAATTGGGTGGTGAGTCCCATCCAAGGCTAAATACGTGCGAGGGACCGATAGCGGAGAAGTACCGCGAGGGAAGGATGAAAAGAACTTTGAAAAGAGTTCTTTTCATTCTTCCCTCGCGGTACTCTTCGCTATCGGTCCCTCACACGTACTTAGCCCAACCGGAGCTGCTTTTTTTGTTTTTGGCCCACCTCCCAGAGATAGACCACTGGATCACTCGATCGGCATTGAGCAGAGTCTGCTGATGCTTGTAGGCCTGGGGTAGGGGACTTGAGGGGAGGCACAGGGATTGGTCCTGTTGGCATTGTCCCTGCTGCTACCGGCTGTCCACTGGCCGGTATCGCCCACCCTCAGGTCAGGAGCAGGCTCCACATGTTCTCTCGTGAACACGGTTCTGGCTGCTACTCTCATATTGGACCCGGTTTCCAGGAGGTGCCGCTCCCACCAATAGATGGAGCAGCCCAATAGATAAGCCCTCAATCCGGACGATTCTCTTACCATTGCCGGGATGGAGGGCTTACACAGGGGCTTTCACAAAAAAAAAAAAAAAANAAAAAAAAAAAAGAAAAGAAAAGAAAAGAAAAGAAAAGAAAAAAGAAGGTGACTCTCATATGTCTATAATCCAGCCTCTACAACAACCTGTGCTTTTTCTAAAAAAAAAGAAAAAAAAGAAAACAACAACTGGCAGCACAGGTACTTTGAAAAAGAACTCTGAAAAGAGAGTTAAAAAAAAAAAAAGGGTAGGGAACACCGACTGGCAGCACAGGTACTTGGGCACAAGCTCTCACACAGAAGAGTGAGTCAGTTCATGTTATGGGAGGAGGAAATATGGATTGGAACACACGTACCTGAGCAAAAGCTAGACACGGGAGAATGCTCGTAAAAATACCTGTTGATGCCCCAATGATAATTTGAGATACAAAACAACAATAGATGGATGTGCTAATGTTAGAGCTCACCCTGCCTTGCAGACCTAAGCTGGATTTTGTCAATTGGGGAAACTACGCCGGAGTCCCAAAAATGAGTTATAATTGCACTATGGTGGGCCAAGATACAGTTTCAAATTGCAGTTCGGGCAATGTATGCAACCCAGCTTTCTAGCCAGGTAGGGTGCCCGAGCTGCAATTGCAAACTGTATCTTGGCCCATACCGCAATTATAACCCGTTGTTGTGACCTCTGCGCAGTTACCCCCCCCCAAACAAACAACTAAAAAAAAAAGAAGGGGAAACTACGCGGTGGTCACGAAAACGAGTTATAATTGCACTAGGGGCCAAGATACAGTTCCGAATTGCAGTTCGGGCGATGTATACAACCCACCTTTCTGGCCAGGTAGGGTGCCCGAAGTGCAATTGCAAACTGTATCTTGGCCCATTGTGCAATCATAAGTCGTTTTTGTGACTCTACTGAAGTTATCCCCCCCCAAAAAAAAGGAGCTTGCAACAATAGGGAATATGGCATCAAAATTGATGATTAGGGTGGGTGCTTTAGGACACTTGTTCGTAAAACATTTGAGCGAAACTGCATCCACAACAAATACGAATAAAAATAAAAAAACGAACTAATTATATATGAACGAATGAACAAACAGAGGACTGAGCGAGCGAAGGAATGGATGAACCAACAAGGGCGCCAACCAGCAAGCCAGCGGCCTAGCGAGCAAGCAAGCAAACGAAGGAAAGCAAGGACACAATGCATAGCAAGCAAGAGAGAAAGCACCACAAACAAAGCGAACAAGCACAACAAATTGAGTGCAGCAAGATAAGGCAAGCAAAGCAAAAGAAGCAAGCAAGCATGGAAGCAGGCACGCATGTAAGCAAACGAAGCAAACCAATCCAATCGAGCTTGCAGGGAGTGTTGTTGCAGTGGGGAGTGTGGCAACGGAAATTGGGGTGGGATACAAGTGGCCTCCGGGGTGAAAGGCTGAAAGGCTGTGTGGGTGGAGGGCTGGCTGAGGGGCATAGGTAATGGGGGGACGGGCGGATGGGAGGGGTGGCACAGAAGTGATGGATATGTTTGTGTGTGTTTGTGGGTGGGAGGGGGGGGTGACCAGGATTGTGGTGGCGGAGGTTGAAGGGGGCGGGACACAGACGGCGGTGCAGTGGGGTGTGGTGGTCCTGGTGGCATCCGGGGTAAGGTGTCTGTCTCCAGGACCTGTTGATTCCAAACTTCCAGGGCCTTCGAGTTGTCCCCAGGGAAAGGAGAGAGGAAGCTTTCCAGGGGATGCCTCCTCCAGAAGATCTCATTTTTCCTCCGGTTCAGCCAGGTGATGTTGGCGTTATGGTAGATGTCGCAAAATGTTTTTGGTGACCCCACCGAGATCTCTCTGAATCCCCTAATGCTTTTCAGTTGTCTGTTGCCTCTGTTAGTGAGAGGGAAGGCTGTCTCAGGTGTATGCAGGCTTCGTGTGGGTATTGCATTTAATCGCTTCTCCCACTGTTTGCCTTGCCTGAACAAAGCCATATGTGTGCTCCTTCAAGTTTTTTTTTTTTTTTTTTTTTTTTTTTTTTTTTTTTTTTTGGACAAGCACCCCCTGCATGTGCTAGTGCTGCTGATAAGAGCAGACAGCACTATCACCGGAGGAGAGGCTCCATCTATTGGTGGGGAGCGTCACCTGCTGGAAATCGGGCCCAGCGTCCCGTTTTACAGAAAAACTGGAACCAATGACTGTGAGTAGCTGTGGGACCTGTCAGCATTGATTGCCCTGCAGAATCAGGGGATTAACTGAGCAGGCTTATGTGAAAGTTGAAAAGTTGAAAACTCAAAATACAACGTAGTCTGAGGTTTAATATCGCAGTAGAACCACATTGTAGCTGCACGCACCATGCAACAGACCTTCTCCTCACTGCTCAGTCTGTACGGAGCAAGGCTCCAATCCATCTTATTTATACTACTTCTTCTCACCATCTATCTAGTCCATTTGCTCCTTTGAAGGTTACCCCGCTCGCAAAAAGCTTCCGTCTCTGTTGAGCAGCTACAAAAACGACAAAGGAGTTTGCATTGCTGCATCAAGAAAAACAAAACAAGTACGCAATCCAGCGAAAAGATACGTACGGCTTCGTGCGGAGACACCGAAATGGCATCTGTCGCGCGAGGCTGGCCGAAAGGAACCAGGCCCAAAAAAGGGCTACATACATGCAAAAAATTGAGTAGGCTTAGGACCAAGTTGTCGAACTGAGAAACCAGTCCAGAGCACGGCATAAGACTACTGCAGCGCGGTACTCAGCAGTTTGTCTTGTACACAATCTGAGTCCGTATTCCAGATCGTCACATCTGGACCGTGATAAAAAATGGATCTCCCGAGATCGTTGCGCATGCTTCAGTTCATCAGGATCGCCTCCAGAGCATAAGCGTACGAGTCGCATCTGTCGTATTCTTCTTTTGCTGCCGCCTGCGGGATTCTGGCCACCGGACCATATGTGTACGCGCCTCACCATTCGTGCCCAACCTACTCCTCATAGCAACATGCGGGAAGTTGCTCAGTTCGGGTCCCGAGGGTTCCTCTCCTGTCGTGCCTTTCCCACTGCTCATAGCAGTCTGCGAGAAGTCTGCTCAATTCGGGCCAGACCCACCCTCCCACCCTGTTGGCCATCTTCATCACTGCTTTTGAAATGAGGGGTATTGGAAATTCCGCTCCTCTGAATTCTCTGTAAAGCGTAGTTAGTATAAATGGAAAGATAGCATCACAATTGGTGTTATTTCGAATTCGATGCAAGGTGCCCGTGATGGTTGCAAATTTCTGCTCGATGGGGGCAAAGGATCTAAAATTCCGGGTAATCATATACTTTGGTTGCTTGGGGTTGACCCAAATGCTCTCTGTATTTTTGAACTTATGCATCACAATGATCTCAGTTGGTTCGTTTAAAATCAGGATTTTTGTCTCAAGGAATTCCAAAATATTTAAATCGAGATCAGTTCTTTCTAGTTTCAAATCTTTATGGTAGCAGTTTTTATTTCATTGAGTAGCTTTTCCGCTCTGCTTCTTTCGGTTGGTTTCTTGAAGAATCCGAGCAAAAGCAAGTCGTCAACATACCTCTTCCCGTGGATAAATCTCTCATCCTTGCCGAGGCTTTTAAGAAATTTATTCTCGGAAAACATGCAAACCAGATTCGCCAAAGGTGGTGAAGCTTGTCCCCCCATAGGTACTCCTTTGTTTTGCTTTAGAACGGTGCCAACAGATTTGAAAACCACGTTCTTCAAAATGAAGTTCACCAGTTTATCGATGTCGTTCAGCCTGATTGATTTCCATCCTTTTTCCTGAGCCGATTTGCAAAATGTGGCGCCCTTACCCCTCGTCTTGTATCTGATCCAGTGTTTCCCTTTGTTCTTAAATTCTCCAATGATCCAATGTACCGCATCTTGAACTTCCTCGTGCGGGATTTGTGAAAACATTTCTTTTATGTCAAATGTTTGTGCAATCACTTGCAATTCATCTTGTTCAATTCTTCTGTTGATGTTGTTTAAGTCCTCTTTCAATTCCTTTCCATATGAAAGGTTAAAGTTCTTTCCTTTGAAGTTTCGGAAAAAACAATTCAGACATTGTACAACGAACCGTCCTGCAAATCTCAAAGGGCTGGCAAACGAGGGACAGATTGGTCTCTTCTTCTCGATGTCTTTGTCTTTGCTCATGATGAATGCGTTCTGAATGACTCCTTTGTTATCCCACTTTGCAATCTTGTGTAGTTTCTCTTTCTTGTACTCTTTCTTCATTTCTGTCAGGATCGTATGATCTGTTTTGTTGATGTGTTCAAAATCAGGAATCCCATTAAAGGTGCGCACCATACCATTGTAGTACAGGACAGGGCATTCTACCAGTGTTGCTTCTGGGTTTCGATCCAAGGGCGACAAGCCGAGCCCTTCGAAGGCTTTCTTTACGCCGAGAACATACTCAGTGAGAATGGTACCAGCTGGTATGGATGGTCCGGTTCTACCGATCTTGGTGGGTGATATCCTGAGTTCTTCATTAACCCCGATCTTTCTCAGCACCGATAAAGAGTGTCTGCAAGAGCTGTTAATTACATCAATACTGGCTAGCCTGCCAGGATATGGAATGTTCTTCGAATTGTGCAAGAAGGTGGAAACTTCTGGAATATCATTCATCCTGACCCGGACATGCCCGTTAATTTTGGGCAAGTCGAACTGGTCACAGCAGCATACAGGTTGTGGGTCTAATGCTGCTCGACGGTGGTTATGCAGAATGCATGCGACAAATTTGGCTTTAGTCCAAACTGCTCGCAGCTTCGATTGCATCAGGCAGGAGAGTTCCAGAGGCTTAACACGCTCCTTGATCCAATCACACACTTCGGCACGCGTGCACTTTTTGTCGATGGTATGACAAAATGGAATTTTTACAACAATTATTTCCCTTGGGTTGAATCCGAGTCTTTTTTTCAACTCATTAGCGATCAGACTACGAATAATATGTCGCCCTCTTTGCACGTTAATTGTTTTACAGCCTTTTAGCATAGAGATTAGATCCACGACATCTTTACATCCAAGTGTCTTTCGCCTAGTCCAAGGGGCCCGCAATAATGAGATGATTTCAGATTTCCTTCTATCTGCTTTGGATTCAGTCCTCACTAGGCAAGTAACTTCCCACGTTCCACCGTGCTCAAATGATAATTTCAAATCCCTTTGTTCCGTCCCTTAGTTTTGAGTCGCCGTATACGAGCTTAATCAGGCGCCATGAACACAACCATTTCGAACCACCGTTAGTTGCAATCATGGATGGTCTCTTCTTCTTCTTTAATTTATTCAGCAGACTCATGAGATTAGTTGTACCTTCTTTCTCATCATCGACAGGAAAGATTATAGGTTCAAATCCCATCGCCCCACGTGGGCTGCCGTTATTCTTTTTTCTAGCTCTCCTTGGTCGTTTCTTCTATTTATTCTTACGCATATTTAAACCAGGATTCTCGTCGTCGATGAGTTTGCTTTCCAGCCATTTTAACTCACTTTTACTCTCAAAACAAAGTGGAACGATGGTATACGTCGAGGGGTTTCTCTTGTGCAACCATTTGTGCACTTTGAAAACTGGATTAACGAAAGAATTCCGCTCGTGTTCACGCCACATATCCTTAAGTTCCCTGCCAGCCTGTCCAATATACGTTAGTTTGCAGAATGGGGAAATTAGCAGATAGACACAGGAGTTAGCACTATCATTTAATAACTCGCTAGGATGGAGATTCCTCCAATACTTGACATACGTACACCCCCAGCTAATGAACCCAAGCGTGCATGCGAGAATAATGCTCATTTTGAACGCGTCATCCAGATCGTGTCCCAGTTCCCCTTGGCTGTCGATCTTGGCGAGGCCGAGTCTTCTCAGTAGCCTCATCAGGCTACGCTTGGTGACATTTAGTTCCCCGTCACGCCATCGTCTTCCTTGTCGGAGTCGTTATTCCCATCGTCGTTGTCATCTTCCTTTCCTGGATCCGATTCGAGGGTGTCGTCGCCGTTCATAAGCTTCGTGAACTCGTCCGTGTCTTGTTTCGCCAGCTCCTAGACACTCTTGTCTTTTCTTTCCCACTTCACGTCTCCTTTGAGACACAGGCTTTTAACCTTCTTCCCTGTTATCTCCATATAGTGGTCTAGCCTCTGCCTCATGTATTCGACAATCCCGACTTCCTTGCCCACATCGCATGTGACATTCCTATTCACCTTTAACTTCTCCTCTTCGTCGCTGTCGGATTCTTCCTCATCCTTATGTGTTTTATTGGTCAGGATTGCGCTCTCCTTCCCCGAAAGCGCTTTGGATTCCTCAATCCCAATTCCTTTGCTCATCTCAACCTTGTTCGCGATATGAGCGAGTAGCACCATAATGTCATCCAGTTCACACCATCACCACTCACAGCAGCACCACTGGGGGCGTTTGTTTCCCCTTGGATCATCGCGTTTTGCGCCTTTCTGCCTTCTTCTTCATCATCGGAAGACACTAGAATCCGTGGTTGTCTGATCTTCACGCCTCCACTCCTTGATCGTGATTTCGGCTTCTGGAGTTCGGCAGCGGGTGAGTTCGCTCCAATCCCTCTTTTACTTTTCTCACTACTGCTCCCTTCCCCTTTCTTGGCTCCGCATTCGAGTTCGGCAATCTTCTTCTCGAGCCTCTCTCTCTGCTCGTTTGCATCCTTGGTCTTCTTATCAACGACATCCAACTTCTCCGCAATCCTCTTCAATGATACGCTGAAATTACTCGCCATCCAAGCCTTGAGGTTATGCTCGCCGTCTTCGGAGCTCGAACTTGCTTTCCCTTTAGACTTCCTCCCCGCGCCACTCTTGCTGCTCTCTCCGGTATCTTCAGTCTTCTTCTTCGCGGATTCTTCAAGATCTCTCGTCTTCGATTTCTCGATCAACGCGAGGTGTTCCCGTGTAAACCACGTCCGGTTCCCTGGTCCAGGGAATGCGTTAGCAGAAGGTGGTCGGTTAGGTTCGCGTTGCTGGCCGTATCCCCACGGATTCGGTGGTGGAGGGGGTGGGGGGGGCGCCCATCCGTAGTACGGTGGGTATTCAGGTAGCGGATGAGGTTGAGGTCCTGGCATAGTCGTGATAGGGGAAGAATTATGAGATTGCCCCACCATTGCAGGTGGGGTATTCTGATAATCCATCCAGTATCTACGATACCCGGACCAGCGTCCTCTCCCCCGGCCCCTACCCCTAGCGTGCATGCAGGAAGATCACGCAGCTGGCGCCGCGACGTATGCCCTTCCTAAAGACGAAGAGTCCGAAGTCCGCCTTGTGGTATGGCGTCACGCGTCCCGATCCTTACAACTCCAGTCTTGATCATAGTCCAGAGTAACTCGGACGTCCGGAATAGAAGATAGAAGGTACGTAAATAGAAGATACGTAAATAGAAAATAATTATGATATTAGAAAGAGTATGCTCATAAGCAACTTTCTCACCGATCGCAAGCACGACCGGACGTGAAGAAGCTATCGCGCCAAGTAAGCGTGCCCAAGTGTAATTGCAAGGTCGTTCACTTGGCTCATACGAGAGTTGAAAACTCAAAATACAACGTAGTCTGAGGTTTAATATCGCAACAGAACCACATTGTAGTTGCACGCACCGTGCAACAGACCTTCTCCTCACTGCTCAGTCTGTACGGAGCAAGGCTCCAATCCATCTTTTTTATACTACTTCTACTCACCATTTATCTAGTCCATTTGCTCCTTCAAAGGTTACCCCGCTCGCAAAACATTTTCGTCTCTGTTGAGCGGCTACAAAAACGACAAAGGAGTTTGCATTGCTGCATCAAGAAAAACAAAACAAGTACGCAATCCAGCGAAAAGATACGTACGGCTTCGTGTGGAGACACCGAAAGGGAATCTGTCGCGCGAGGCCGGCCGAAAGGAACCAGGGTCCAAAAAGGGCTACATACATGCAAAAAATTGAGTAGGCTTAGGACCAAGTTGTCGAACTGAGAAACCAGTCTAGAGCACGGCATAAGACTACTGCAGCGCGGTACTCAACAATTTGTCTTGTACACAATCTGAGTCCGTATTCCAGATCGTCACATCTCGACCGTGATAAAAAATGGATCTGTCGAGATCGTTGCGCATGCTTCGGTTCATCAGGATCGCCTCCAGAGCATAAGCGTACGAGTCGCATCTATCGTATTCTTCTTTTGCTGCCGCCTGCCCTTATGTGAAAGCCAAAAGTGAATGTAAGAGAACCACTGCTGCCTGCCAACATCGATTGAACTGAGCAGACATGTGTAGACCTTGGAGAACTGTTGTTGCCTTTGTATCTCTTCACCCTCAGAGAGAGGGTGCCGGATAGGAACCGCTGTTGCCTGCCAGCATCGATTGCCCTGCAGAGCAGGGGATTAACTGAGCAGACCTGTGTAGACCTTGGAGAACTGCTGTTGCCTTTGTATCTCTTCACCCTCAGAGGGAGGGCGCCAGATAGGAAAATAGGGACTGATACTGACTGGCTGCTTGCTCCAACCCTAGCCTGCCGACTGCAAATGCTGACTGCTTTTGTTAAGTGTGGAGTTCCGGGATTGACTGAGCAGGGTCTTATGAGAAGGCCCTTCCTTCTGCTAAGGATCCCCTCCTCCATACCACTGCTCCCCTACTATAGCTAGAGCTGGTGGTGGAAAGAGGTCGGGGAAGTCCGAGGCAGGGTGCCAAGGAATGTCCTGATGGATATCTGTCCATTCTTGAAAGAGAAGCTGGTAGTTCCTGCCACTTTGTCCCACAATTCTCCCCCCCCCCTACTCCTTCCCCTTACCCCTCCCATCGAATATTTGCAATGGGCTTCCCTTGGGTCTCCCCCAGCCAGTCCTCGCTGAATTGTTGGATGTGTTTCTTGATTTCTGTTTTAGCATGTAGGGTTACTAATTTTTCTTTTACTTTTTCCCATTGAATAGTAATTTCCGCTTGCACATACAGTCTAATTTCTTCCTGTAGGATTTGGCCATCCAGTCTCACTGCCTCCATTTCATAAACACAACGTCTCCTCCATAGCGTCCAGAGCACTGCCCGCCTCCCGATTTTAAACATGTTTTCTTCGAAGGATGTAGCATGTTCCGGGTGCCATGTTTCACACAGAAGTGCCTTCCAATCCCATGGCCAAGTGATTGTGGCGCCCATCTGTCTCCAAGCCCTTTCCCACCATCTCCATAGCCACACTGACCCCGGACACTGTAGGAAGATATGCTCAATTGTTTCTGGTCGGCATCTTGATGGGAAGGTCGATGAGCAAAGTTTGCACCACGGCAGGGCTGACCCTCTTTGTTCCAAAGTTGTTCTATCAATCAACCAATCGTTTGTGGGTAGGCAGCGGTGATTAATTTGTCATTGCAGTGACGTCACTTTCGCCGGGGAGGCCCTGCTTAGTCTAAACCATCTTACTGAGCGGAGGGCCTCTTTTCCCACATTTAGATGCCGCATCCACCTATCTTCTACTATGGTTTTTAAATTTCTTTTCGGGCGCAGCAGCCGGTAGGCTGATTTGACTGACAGTGTATGTAATTGTCACCGCCCTTGTTTTCCTTTGATCCGTGCTCCTTCAAGTTTCTTTCCAATCAGCAGCGACCTCTCCAGATACTGACCATCTTTTTTACTTTTTTTTTTTTTTTTTTTTTTTTTTTTTTTTTTTTAATTACCCTAGCCAGTGATAGCGGTGCTGGTAAGAGCAGACACCGCTAGCACCTGGGGAGCAGCTCCATCTATTGGTGGGGAGCATCACCTGCTGGAAAACGGGTCCAGCGTCCCCTGTACAAAATACAATCTGAGAAGTTCCGAGTATGAGAATTCTAGAAGAGTCTCG